GTTTGCCAGTTGAAATTATAGCGTGGTTGTAGGTAATTGACATGAATTCCTAGTGAGTCAGATGTATTCATTCAACTAAATCAGTCTTTGATAAGATTTAAGATTTCAGAACGAAAATCTATAATCCATAGTTCACGTCTTATATCAATCAAAGGCTGTTTATTAGGTATTACTTAAGTATTAAATCTTCAACATATGCACCGTTTCATACTCCATCTAGAGACCTTGTAGGACTAATATAGGACTAGAACCTGAATAAAGGTAGAAGGTTGAGATAAGGTTAGCAAACCACCCTTTAGATAAGGACCATGCTCAGAAGCACTTACTACCAGTTATCGTATGCATGACTCATTAGATAACAGGTACTTTACCCTTTAAGTTGCTTCAGCAGAGACACATTTTACTAATGTGAGATAATGGCGTTAGTCATCAGAAAGATCTGGAAGTGAGTTTCGTTCTGTTTGACCCTTTCCATCAATGTATGACTGCAATATTAAAGGAACCGATAACTCTTGATAGATTTAATCCTGTCACTCAGCTTCACAGCCACAGATGTTATACTTGAGCTATTTAGACAGCAACTAATCTATCATCAAAGACTTGCGAAGATTATAGAAACCTGGAATCATTCGACGAGTGTGTCATTCTAGTGTGGTACTACTCTACAGTGCACATCCACGACTTCCGCTAATCACACTAACTGAACCCAGGAACTTCAGTCTCACGCGCAAACTCTTGACCTCGAGAAAACTGATCCGGCATCTTACGTTTTTATTGTCTAACATCGATCAGTTGATTCGCCTTATTGATTCTCCATTAATTGCCCATTTTAATTATGGCTTAGAACTCATAGCAGCAAGAGAGAGGGACTTTACAAAACTAGAAACAGTCTTAAGTACTTCGATACTGGAGGCTAAAATAAACTAATCAACTCCATGACTAAATTACAATGGCAAAGCTAACCACTAAGCTAATGCAAAATAGACTTAACTTGTGGTAAAAAGCACATAAAAGACCAAATAACCTACTGGTGAGGTCATTTCAAAGTCATATCACTAATTCTTACTATAGTCGTACAGCACATACAAAAGACTGGCTAAGGGAGTTGAATCTAGATATTGAAGTGATGAAAGATAAACTACTAACAAACTGGATGAATAATCCAGTGAAAATCAAAGTTACTCAAATTACAGATCACGACTCCCATGTAGTTAGAAAACGAAGACTACAAGACTATTCGTTCTAATGAAAAAAGGAATCATTATTTCAAAATGACCAAAACTCAAAAATATTAACCATCGCTCAAACAGATTAATGTGAGTGCATTCCTAGAAGATTACAACAAGAAGTATATAATACTAGGCTGGCTTTAAAGATACATGCTATTATGTCACCCACATTATATATCGAGCGCAATTGACTGACAAAATAAATTACGTGAATGACAACCGATTCAAGTCAGTATCAAAGATACAATAACCCAACAATATCCCTTTCCTTTTAAAGACTGTGTAATAAATTCACTTTTATGATGAGAACGCGATTAGTTTACCAGAAACATTAATTATGATAACCAACTGTACCAGTGATTGTTTAACTGTACTTTTTGTTTATTATACTCCGTACGCACAAACGTCCGTTTATGTTGTTGCCATTTTTGCTCCACCCTCTCTGTAATTTCACTCCTTTTTTCTGGCTCGATTTTGGTATTCTTTCGATACCATGAAATTGACAGCCAATATATTCATTACTAGGGAATAACCCTTCTTCTTTCTGACGGGCTCGTAATTGCTGTAGTGGTAGGCATAGTCAATCTTGACATCATCGACACTTCAATACTAAAGTAGAACTTGATAGTTTTAAATTACATGAGTATTGTGAGAAACGTTAATCATCATTACGTAATTATTATTTCTTGTGGTTATATCCCGATGAGTAGAAATGTATATTTCTGACAGTTCATAACTTAGTGCAAGTCATTTCCGCAGGGTAAATGAGTAAATAACTGAAATTAACTAACACAAGTTTAAATAGTTAAAAGGAAACAAAGCAGAATATCATCAAAAAGTTATCATTACTTTATTAATATTGATAAATAAATTATTATGAAACGTTCATTAATAAATCAAGTTCTACAGTAGGTTCTTTCATTAACAACCAAATACAAGTTGTAATTCCATTCACTAAACATAAATGTATTATTTCTTGTTTCACTGATCTTTAAATCTAAGAAACCTGAAAATATTATCAACAAGCGCAACATGGAAAATACACGTCAAATGAATTTTTTAATAACATTTGTAGATCACCGATGTGGATGGTGAGTCCACTGGACACGAACAAGTATAATATGTCCCCTGACTTACGTTAAGGTCAAAGTGCCTGGTGGATACCTTTCTTGAATTACCATATATCAGGTAATCTGGCTTCGTTATTGATTGCACAAAACGAATAGAATTTTATCATGTTAATTTCTTATGTTAAGTAAAACAGAATAGAAAAGCACAGTGCTCAGATATACCATGGCTTTCAAACGGTCGATTCGCGTTAGCCTACATTGACCTTCACGGTGTTTGTATTATGCTTAAGCTAATTAAGGTATGACTCGATATCGGCGGACGGAACGTAAACCAGTGACACAACAATAGGATAGCTAATCTATTCTCTACGGCACACTCCAACCAACTAGAGAAAGAAGTCCGAGGTCAGCAGGAAGATTGCATAATCAAAAAGAAGCATCTAACGAAAGAATTAAGAAGAATTCAGTTCAGGCGTAATTTATAGAGTACAGAAAGTGTTCTTGAAAGAGGCACAAAGTGAAACACTAAAGGAGAAAACTAACCAATCTGATTTAGGATACTTCCAAGTTGAAAACACTAACTGAAGGTAATAAGAATTAGTTTATGAGCGAAAATAGGAAATTCAAATTCCCGAAAAATAAACCAGAAAATTGAGAGGTTTACCAATATATTTCCTGGTACAAAGTATCCACAACAGTTTGGTTAGCTGCCTGATGTTCGGTGATTTTTCATCAAATAGAGAAACTTTTCAGCTAGATTGATGGTCTTTCAAAGGATCAGAAATTTTTCTTACGTTATATATATATATATATATATATATATATATATATATATATATATATATATATATATATATATATATATATATATATATATATTCATGATGAATAGTAAGCAGTTCCTAAATTTACCGAGATTATTGATAAACTCTACCAGTTTTTCCAGTAATCGATCTACCGGTTCTATGAAATTTGAGAAGTCCGTTGCCACAGTGAAAGGACTGAAAGTTAATAAATATAAGATTATATGCAATGCAGTTAATAGACACAGAAATTTAAGTTATTCAACTCACATAACTCAAACTCTGATAGAGTAATAAATTTGTTACTTAGTTTCTTTTAAAATGTATTTTACTGATTTCAGAAATCAGTGTTAGACATAATTCAAATAGTTCTTTAGAATGACTAATGCATTGTTTACTGATATCACTAATGTACACACTACCTCAAACGGTATCCTCCTTACCGTAAGAGAACTGAACATTCTGTGTTGAATACGTGTTGATATCAAGTTCATTCAGTGACGAGGAGTTCTGTAGTTGAATAAAATCGACAATTGGAATTGTTTTAAATTTTATATGAATCTATGCTGAAGAATGTGACTTCATTAATAGAAATGCTCATTCATGCAAATCAAAAGAATATACCATAATACTATAAGTATTACATAGTTGTATAATCATAATAATTAAAAATTAAAACTATTATTTATTCCTACCTATTTTTAAATATTCCTTTCAGTTTCGATAACGATTGATAGATATTTTGCAAGGGGTATAAGAAAAGAATTACTGAATTAGGTTGGTAGCTGAAACTCGATCAAACTCATTAACGTTATTCTTTATTAAATTTAAAGTAACTGCAATAATCACATTTTAGCAGGTTTCGGAAACAGTGACTTGACATCTCGTGTGACTGATTAGTTTGTTTTGTGAATTGTATGATTTATGAACTATTAACATATCCTCTGGATTAACAATTTCTTAATTATTTTTCTCAAAGAAGCTGTTAGTACATGTGATATTCAACACTATACGGAGTCACTAATTAGCAATCTTAAAATGTTCCAAAGTATAACACTGGAGCTGAGCAGTAGATAGCGGCTTAGTAACATAACACTCTGGTACTCCTGAACACTGCATTCAAATCAAGATATTTCGACTTTGTGTTAAACATAAAATCATTTGACGATTCAGTTGGAATTAGATGATTGATTATGATTATTAGCAGCACTAGTCGATTCGCTGTATACACCGCTCTCATAATTCAGTGACACTGGAGGTTAACTCTTTCAGTTCAAACATAATTAAATCTGATGTTCATAGTGTCTTAAAACGAAAAATGTCACCACAAATTAAGTAATTCTTTTAATAAAAACCTGACTACCAAGTTGACTGCACATAAATGTAACTAATATAATCAGTGATCAGTTATACTTAACCCAACTGCACTCAGTATACATATATATTAACAATAATGATCTAAAATTGATGTGTTTTTTTTTTGTATTGAACCAAGTTGCAGGCAAATAAACTGGCTATAGTGAAATAAATGTTATGCCAAATCTATTTTTAGCGTGTTCCTTGTAAGACGGTAAAACAATGTCCATTAGTTAGTTTCATAATAACCTACACTACATTTTTCTTTTCTTTATTTTGAAAAAAAAAATGAATAGATCATTTTCTTCTTTCCTTACTACTGAATAGTATTAATACAGTATAACAATGCATGGTATCCTAAATCTCGGTAATAAGCTAAATTTAACTATTGATTGATATTCGGATTGGACAAAGTATAACACAAATGTGTTTATTGTGTTATTCATTTTCACCAATAGCATTGTCTATATGAAGAATTTTTTTTCTCTTTTTTTCTGTTTCACAAATTATTATTCAGATTCTTTTTGTATACTCCCTGTTATCTTGTCGCACCAATTACTATTAACTATTACTACTTTCGTGCGCTGTTAGTAGTTTATGTTAAGCGAAATTACTCATTCTGCACATAAAATTGACAATTCATTCATGAATTGAATATTGAATTGAGACGAAAATTTTGTTATTTTGTTGAACAAAGAAACTTCCATCATAATCATTGTTATTATCATGACACAGTGATAATATTCTTCTCTAAATATTAGTAATCAATACAAATGATAATTGAACAAAAGTATAGAAGTGTTGGTCAGTCAAATATCTCTCCATTTATCTTAATACTGTTATTACTTGTTAATAATGTTTATCATTTAAATTCACAAAATCTCATCAATGAAAATGAAAATAATAGCCAGAGAATAAAAACAATAATTAAAAATGAAAAGAATGAAGATAAATTTAAAGGTATGTTAATAATGACAAGTTTAAATTTATGTATAATGATAAGCAAATTACTTAGTAAGTATGAAAAATTGTTTGAAACAGAGCCGTAGAAAAGATAGTTTTGAAATTCACGAAACAAGTTTCATCTTTTTTTAGGCTCATCAGACCAATAGAGTTGCATGTTCACTCCTTATCTCCATCATGATTCTCTGTGATTTAAACGCTTAAAGCATTGTCCACTTAGCTACTGAGTTCAAGCAGTTAACGGATTGTGCAACAAGGATCCATTTTATCCCAATTTTAAGGGTCGTTTGAACTTTCTCACTGTTAGAGCTAATGTCTGTAACTAGTCAGTCTCTTTCAGCATACGTCCATTCTGAGCGGAGTGTTTGGATATTTCAACTCAGTCTTTTAATCAGAGTCGGGTGGTGACTGTTAGTGGAATCCAAGACACTTAGAACCAAATTATTATTAATTCCCGTTGCACAAACTTCTGGCTTTCTGAACTCAGTAGCTGGATAATGCATTCAAAGGTGAAGTCCATACGTTTGAGCCATTGAGTCAATACGAACACTGGGATGTAGGTAAATTCATCAAATGAATCTCAGACAGGCCAATACACAAAGCCTGAATTCCACTATAAACCACTATCAACTTCTGATCAAAAAGTTTGTATTTTCATTGCAAGGGTTCACATTTATGTGCAGTGTTAAGTAGGTTGTTTAGGAACCCAAAAATTAGTTAAGTAAATTATTTTAAATCATATTTTTTTCAACCTCAGTGTTATTTTCGTCACTGAATGTTTTTTTCCTTCAAATTACATAGAATCTATCAAATAATGTTTATTATCTATAGTCATTCAGTTCTATGTCCTGTTCAGTCCTCAACTGGCTTTCAATAGAGTTAATGTTAGATCTTTTTAAAACGAAATCTAAAACGTTCTGAACCACGACTTACTATCCTTTGACAACTTTTCATTCATTATTGCAAGGAGAAACAGAAACATTGTGCGATACTTTCACCGACATAGATATGTGTAAATTGTACAAATAAAAGTAACTATACTTAGAAAACTGACTTTAAACTTTACAGTGCGTAATGATGATTAACTGTAATATAAACTGTTTCGTTTGAATATTTTATACATGCATTTTAAGTTAGTAATGATCTCTTTTTAATGCATTATGTTTTTGTACTGGTAATTCTCTCTTGTTTTCAAGAGATACAACTGAATAAATAGATAACACTATGATAGTTATTGTATCCGCTCATGAACTATCTATTTGACTGAGTTAGATAATGTTAATTTTACGTGCGTTTCTGCTTTGCATGCGGAATATCTTGATTGACTTGTGCTTGGTCCTGGAACCCCGGCTGCGACGATAACTAATGTGAAAACGAAGACCGCCTTTGTGGATTTACTTGACCCAAAATTAAATCAAAATGATATATAAATACACTCTTTTAGGCAACTTATAAACTGTCTGAGTTACATTCAGATTTGCATAATTAACAGGAACACAACTTAACATTACATAATCAGTGACTTACTATGTGAACAATTTCATGCAGTTAGGCATTGATGACCAACAAATACAATCAGTTGATTAAGTCATATAATTATTCCTTCTTAAAACATGATTATATGTTACAGTTTCATCTGTTATTCTCACACCGATCGATTAAATCACTGCTCACCGTGCCCAGTTTACACCTTTCAATGTGTCCAAATTCGTTTCAATTCAGTTTGATGGAAAGAATTTTTCAATAGTTTCATTTTATTGTACATCGATTTGCTAAGCAGATGAAGTATATGTTTCATTGTTTGTTGAATTTCATCATAACAAATAATCTTAACTTGTTGTTAGAAAACATTAAGTTGCTTAAATTCTATGTTACCAGCTATATAGATCTTGAGGACTTTGACATTCTATTTTTCACGTATAAAAATTGAATCCACTTCCTGATTATCATTTCCATTTGTGCTTTAATTCGAACAATCAACCAGATATTAAGTAAAGATTAATTTTAATGAAACAGCCTAATGTTAAGCTGAAATAAATGAGTTATAAGTTAAGTTTTGGATTATTACGCTGTTGATGTTGGGGACTGATATTCGAACACGCTTCGTTTGCACATGGTCATCTTGGCTGGATTCCCATTGTAAAGTCATAGTATAGAATATACGGAGTGTTCCTGACAATGGTAGTTCAAATGCGAGTTTTCCCGGGTTCGCGATTCATGCCCAACACGTTTTCCTCCAAACTATTTAGTCAAGCTAACCACTGATTTACTCAACACATATGAAATTTTTATGACTGTTGGTAAATTATGCCGTCGTTGATATTCGTGAATAAATTTTGGTCATCCTTAGATTTTAAATGCTCCATTCTGTTTTATAGAAACTTCACAGACAAAAAAGTGTATACAGTTATCTGAATTGTCACAATTCCGTAACAGAATATAAACATCACAATTTATAATATTAACTTTCAGACTGTTTTGTACGTCAGATTGTTGTGAGTGAACTGGAATCTCTTGCCTCTATAGCCAAAGTCAGCAAGATGTTCCTGTAATTCTGAGGAAGCCGATGCTTTTTGGTGAATAAAATTAGCACCACCTAGTTTCTCCACATGAGTTCATCATTAAGTTACTCAGGCCATGACTAACGTCTCATTAGATTGAGATACTTTCAACTGATTGATCACTGAGCAATGGACGGTTTCATGTTTGTCTGGTCTTCTTAATGCTAGTAGAATTCTTTCCACTAAGGAATTAAAATGAGTAGTTTTGGTGACACGGATTCATATTCACTAGGGTATCAGCATTTTGATCAAGATTACTGGAACACCATGCTGATGAGAGTTAAGTACCATGAAACCGAAGTTTCCTGACAACTAACTCTAACCATCTAACATCTCAACATAATTTAGACTAAAAGCGATATTGCAACTTTATCGGAATAATTTGATCAGCTTTAATGGATCAAACAAATATGACATTAATCACTATTCAGTTATTAATCATTTGTAAGACGAAGACGGAGATTTGTGCAATGCTGATTATTATTGATTGGTTTCCAGGATAAAATGCAATCAAATGCTGTTCACCTAATAAGTTATAACTGCTACGTCTCAATAATGTCTTCTTCTTTTCCTACCTTTCCTTAAAAAGTGTACCTACATCAGTATATCTTCTAACTAGATATAAATTTTACCGAACTCGGTTAACGTATATATTGTTTCAAAAGACTTCTGATACAAATAATTAAATTAGATAAATATATATTTCGTCTATTCACATAAGCTTTGGTTGTCTTAAAGTATTATTTTATTTATTATTTAAGTTCAGATGAATATTTTTCCTAAATGCTTCACAGAAAGTGCTTAGAATGCATTCATAAATTTATTAGACAGTCAGGGTAGTATTCAAAACAAACATCTGTTAAATATTTTAACTTTCCAATTTCGATATATATTCACCGTTGAAGAGCAAATCACACTGAGTAATGAAGTTATTGCAGATGCTGGTAATCAGCTATCTAATATAAAAACATTATGCCCACCGTATCGAATCCCTTAGAATACTGACCAGATTGTAACGTGATCTTCATGATTCTATTCGCAATAAATGATACCAATTACTACTCAGTGATCGATATAAGCATGTGACGTAAAACAACAAGCTGACTTTTGATGAAATCCACTGAAAATCACTTCCGAATCAAAAGATGGCGGAGAATTTGAATAAGCCTACTTGATTGTAGATGATCAAAGTAATCAAGTTGTTAAGAATTTGATTACAGGAACTAAAAAAAAATTTATCACGTTAAGCACAGTTAATTAAATTTTTGTTTGTTTCGTTAACTAACCAATTTTGTGAATTGCACATTGATACAGTTACTAATAAATGTTTGCATAAACAAAATTTATTCATACTAGAAAATAATAATATATTTTTATATTGAATTTACATTCTAAGCTTTATTATTTATTCATCTTTGAAAGATTATAATACTAATCTAATTTCAAGTTTTACCCGAAGGCAATAAATTTTGTTTCGTAATCAGTCAACTACACGTTTCATATTTACTATGTACTCTTTGTTTTCGTTCTCCCATCTTCAGAAAAACAAAAATAATATCAAAATAAATCGATGACTATTTGAAACAGGCACTTTTACAAAAATAAACGGCTCATCACTAATAACGACAGTGGTACTGAACGAGAAATAAAAGTACTTTTTCTTAAGGTTCTAGTTATCTGTTTACTATGTTTATCACTTTGGAAAACCTGAAAAGTATAAACAGAGGTTATTTACTTAAAACTATGTTGGAATGATATCAAAGAGTGTTATCGAGATTAATGGAATGTACATCAATCATTGACAGTCATAATGAAAAAAGTTGCAGAGATTGTTGATAATTTATAATTCATAGTGCCGACTCATTTTAGTTCTGAGTAAATTTTCCGTTCTCATATAAGACTCCTTTTCAATGATTGTCGGCAACTCCAACAGGAAATCGAACTGGAAACCGTCAGGTCATGCGAAAGTGCTTGAAATTTAAACCACTAGATCGACATCCAGTGCTTTGCATGCGTGAAGTCCTGATATTTGAAGTGCAATAAGGTGAGAAAGTTTTTAGAGAAATATAGACAATGATTTACTTTGCGCTAATCGATAACGAAAACTAATACACAGCATTTCGAGGCTAGAACACTAACACATGGGTAAAATGGATTAAGGGAAAACTTGATATTAGAACTAAGATAAGTGGAACGAAAAGAAGTTTTACAACTCCGTCTGCATAGTAACGAAAGCATAACTTTCAATAATATGGAAATTCAGTGAGCAGAAAGCCATGACAACCAATCAGAAAAAAGCCAGCAGTTACGCGCAAAATCAAATTAGAAAGAATGTACCTAATGCTGTCGTTTCTAGTAATATTTTATCATGGATAATGAAATTTGAATAATCTTATGGTCGCCTTAATATCATGTCAAACTTCAATTGCTTTGCGC